TTTTGATAAATTAGCAAAAGCTTCTTCATCGCTGAAAGGCTCAAAGCACTTCTCAAGAACTGGCATCTACCCCGCGCCTTATGAATTCATTAATTAAGATGCTGGCAAACAGCCACTCTCTGCACGCTGACATCCAGCCGCGTGAGGTAATGAGGTTTGAGTCTCCTGACCCCGTCAAGTGGAGCAGCGCCAGGCACAGGCCGCCCGGAGAAGTCCCCTGCCCGGTGGCGACCTGTCCTCTGCCCCGCAGCAGGCGAGGCTCACGTAATGGGCAGCGGGCCCTGAATGGGCTCAGCCCGCAATCACCCGTCCCCGCTCGCTGCGCCCGCATGGCGGGGAGGTTGGTTCAAGGGCCCCCTCATGCCACTTCAGTGGCTGTTTACTGGTGGCCACCGAGCTGCTTCCTGCCCTTGCGTCAGAAAGCTGGGCTGTCCCCCAACAATGGAGACTGTCCCATCGTGCCCTCCCAGCTTTGAACAATGACAAGCGTCAGGGCACACCTTCCTCCTGGCCTAGGCCACCTGCTCACTGGAGCCCGCCTCCCTTACTGGCCACCTCCCCGCCTCTCTGCCTGGTAGGGACTCCAGTGAATTTTAAACGATTCCCATTAGTTTTTATTCCTATAGCAGAGGCTGTTAGTTCGCCAACCCATGCTGACCCCCAGCCCATACTCTTCCGCTCCCTCCACTGGGGAAGCCGGAAAAGAGCAGCACATGCTGCTTCCCAGTCTCCTTGCAGGTAGGGTGGGTCATAAGCCAGTTCTGGTCAATGAAATGTCTCAGAAGTCAGCTAGGAGACTCCTGAGAGACCTTAAGCTTTGCTGATAAAAGGGACAAACAGTGTTGCCTTCCTTTTCTCCTTCTTGACTTAAAGTTGAACACGATGCCTGGAGCTGTGACAGCTGTTCTGTGACTATGAGGAAAGAGTTAAGAGAATGAAGAAATACTAGCTCTGACAAAGCTGAACTTTTGAACCAATGTCAATAACCACCCACCTAAAAATTTCGATGCAGAAAAAACAGCATACTCCTATTTGCAAGTCACTGAGGTCAGTTTTCTATAACTTGTAGCCAAAAGCTTTCTAAACAATAGGTTTTTGTACTGGGGACCAGGTCCAATAACACTGTCCGCTCTGAGATGTCAGGTGAGATGTCATACATCTGTTAAGGCCAGGCAATGAAACATCTAATGACACTACATCAGACAGTTGAGCTACCAAAGCAAATACAATAGTGACCAAGTCAGAGGCTATTACTATCAGTGATTTAAAAACATAACTTTTACATTAGACCAAATCTTTCTGTCAGTTTAGACCACAATACCTCTTTTTTTTTTTGGTCTTTTTGAGACAGGGTCTCACTATGCAGTTCAGCCTGGCCTTGAGCTCATTGTCGCCCAGGCTTGTCTCGAACTCGCAATGATCCTCCTGCCTCAGCCTCTCGAGTGCTGGGATTACAGGTGCGTGTCACTAAAATACCTTTCCTTTCTCCTGCACATTAAAATCAGGAGCTGGGGATGTGGCTCAGTGGTTGAGCTCTTACCTTGCATGCACAAGGCCCCCTAGGTTTGAGCACCGCAAAAAAAAAAAAGAGAACTTTAACATCAGTACCAGAGCCAGTAATTTCTCATTTGAACTATAATTTTCTCTTGTTATTCAAAATAAGCTCTCAGAAGCTAAAACTCACAGCCAGTGCTTTACAATGCTGAGATGTGGCAAGGTGGCAAAGACTCACATAAAAAGGCCTGAAAAAGAACCACAAGGAGTGGGTAAGGCTAGAAGGGGCCTCAACGGGCCTCAGGCCAGCCCTGGGGTGAGTGCTGCCTGCCGGGTAATTGCTTCATTACAAGTGCAGACTGCAGGTGATCACTCACTTGTGGTGTTCTACTGCACTGGTCAGATTAACACACATTTTTGATTAAATCACCACTTCATTGGCTCTGAGCGCACCACTTTTAATAAGAGGACAATATATGCTGCTACTGAGCACCAGTGCACATTCAGTGCTCAGGACTCTGGGGTGACAGGAGAGCGAGGCAGGAGGCAGCGGGTGCCGGGCTTCTTCCCGAGCGCACTCCAGCTATCACAGCTGTATCAAGCAAGATACAGCTATCACAGCTGTATCACCCAAGATGCCAGGTGGTATGCAGCTAGGCCTACAAACCTGCACACTTACGCATATTTTAAAATACCTGTGCAGGGGCTGGAGATATAGCTCAGTGGCATAAGCGCCTGCTTGGCAAACACAAGGTTGTGAGTTTGATCCCGGCACGGCAAAAAAAAAAAAAAAAAAAAAAATCTGTGCCTACATCTGTATATTGTGGTACAAAGATGGTTGTTTTTTTTTAAAGGGTGAACCTGCCCTAGGATAAAACAAGCCTTATCCAAGTCAACAGCTTTAATAATCGATGTCAGCCGAACAAAAGATGTCTGTGGTCTTGTTAGTGAAGTTTCTGATGACATTCAAGTCCTGTATGTTTGTTTGTTTGTTTTTGCTTTTTGAGACAGGGTCCCACTATGCAGCCCAGGCTGGCCTCAAACTCGCGGCAGTCCTCCAGCCTCAGTTTCCAGAGGGCTAGGGTTATAGATGCGAGCCACCACTGCCCCCAGCCCAATCCTGTATGTTACAGATGAAGTTTATTTTAATGTCCTCATCCCAAACAAGGCAACTGACTCGGCAATGGCAGACGATGCTGAGAAAGGGCCCATCCCAGCCAGGTGTAGTGGCTCACGTCTGTTATCCCAGCATTCAGGAGGCTGAGGCAGGAGGATCACTGCAAGTTCGAGACCAGCTTGGGCTACGAAGTAAGCTCAAGTCCAGCCTGAACTGCACAGAGAGACCCTGTCTCAAAAAGACAAAAAAATAAATAAAATAGAAAGGGTCCATCCTGCACCGAGCACTGATGGTCTCATTTCATCCTCACAGCCGCGGTGGGAAGTGAGGTGTACCCTGCAGTGGAAATGCAAGCACCTGCTACAGCACACTGTGGGCATGGAGTGCTGCTGGCCAGGCCACAAGGCCTCCCGGCTGATAAGCACATTTCTGAGCTCCCTTGCAGTTTGGAGGAGCACTGCATCTTCGTTTATGCGAGTGGAAAATGGGCAGTTTGGGCCCAGGATCCTTAAGACTCTGTGTGCCACCCCCACTCTCCGTTGTTCTAGACCAAGCCTTGACAAACCTACGGGCCAGGCCTGGTCTACTGACTGCTTTTGTGAATAAAATTTTACCAGGGACAATGCCACGCTCATTTACACACTGCCATGGCTGAGTACAATACTGTGTTATTTGTGGTGCTTATGTTCTATAAAACTGACACCGCTATTAAATTATCAAATACTTAACAGGTTAGGTTCCCATGAGCCTCTGGTCACAACTTTTCATCAACTGATCCACCTAAAACCTTGTTTTATGTGTGTTTTCAAAGAGATCTTATCTAATATAGTTGTGGTTCCTTAAAACTGAACTTCTAGCTGACAGTGTCTTATAGTCAGTAGTTATGTCATGCCTGGAAAAAAAAAGTTTATCTAGCCAGACAATGTGGTGCATGCCTGTATTCCCAGGACTCTGAGAGGCTGAGGCAGGAGAATCGAAAGTTCAAGCTCAACCTGGGAAACTTAATGACTTCGCAAGACCCTGTCTCAAAATAAAACATAAAAAGGGCTGGAGAAGCAGCTCAGTGGATCCAATTCCCAGTAACACACACACGTTTATCTAAACCTATCTTCTCTCTAAGTCACATCAAAGCTTTCTTGCACTTAGCAACACTAACACTTCAGCACTTTGCTTGGAGGGCACTTGAGAAGGCAGAATCACCAAAAAGCACAGAAAAACACACAAAAAAACTCATAGCACTAAATGGACCTTAAAAAGGACATTTGTTTATAGTAGAACAGCTCAAACAAGCAGGCAGAGCATCACTTGTACAACTTTAGCTAGAAATGTGGATGCTGGGTGACTCAGGTTTCCCCTGCTATTTTGTTTTAGCCCACGGATGGCTGAGAAACACTGCAGATCCCAGTCTGGGACTACAAATACGTTTTAGCCAGTAGGCATATTCGTAAATAAGAAATCTGTGAATAGGGAGGATCAACTATAGTTGCAACAGAGACTGTACAGCCCACGAAGCCTGAAATATTTACTTATATCATCTCACCCTTCACACACAGGTTTGCTGAATCCTGCCCTGTCTTGCCAGAGAAACAACAAACTTCCCTGGTTGGTTTGTTTGTTTGCAATACAGGAGATTCAGCCAAGGATGTTTACACTGAGCTACAACGGCAACCCTTCATTTTTTATTTTGAGACAGTGTCTTGCTAAGTCACCTAGGCTGGGCTCAAACTTGCAATCCTCCTGTCTCTGCCTCCTAGAGGCTTCATGGAATTACAGGCGTGTACACTATGCCAGGCAAACTTGCATGTTCTTTTCTGAGACAAGGTCTTGCTATGTAATCCAGGCTGGCCTTGAACTTGCTACGTAGCTGGAGCTAGCCTCAAACTCTAGGTGATCCTCCTGCCTCAGCCTCCTGAATGCTGGGATTACAGGTGTGGGCCACTAAGCCCAGCACTTTCAAATTCTTGAAGACATTTGAATTTGGGGGTTTCTCTGTTGTAGCAGCCTATGTCTTTCCTATCACCTAGTGCTACCACCCATCACCATTCCAAAAGCTTATTGTAGAGCCAGGGATATAGCTCAGCAGCACAGAGCCTGCCTGGCTAGCTTGAGGTCATGAATTCGACTCCTGGTACAAGAGATTACTGTTTTTTGTTTGTTTGTTTGTTTGTTTGTTTTTTCCAGAGATTTCCAACCACCTTCATCTACTTTGGACACCCATATTTCCCAAAGGGCGCTACTAAAACCTCTTGCACCAGCACAAGCGTGGTTGTTTAAAATGCAGAGTCCGGGGCTGGGGATTTAGCTCAGCGGCAAAAGCGCCTGCCTGGCAAGCGCAAGGTCGTGAGTTCGGTTCCCGGTACCGGAGAAAAACAAAAAACAAACAAACAAATAAAATGCAGAGTCCTTGTTAAAATGCACACCCACACCTTACTGAATTACTTGGGTTGGGGAAACAGTTCAACTCTCCCTTTGAACAGGTTCTGCAGGTGATTCTACACATTCATAAACTCGAGACTCAAGGAATTGGGGAGCAGGCCGGAAGAAGCCCATTACCCTGTACCCCACAACTTCTGGGAGGCGGCGCAAAGGGAAGGGAAGCGGGCGCACTTCCGGGAAGACCACCAGGGTGGGCGCGACTCTCTGCCCCGTCGTCTCTACTGCTCCGACCCGGGCTCGTGTGTACAAATCTCTCGGGCTTGCAGGGAGATGAACAGGGCACGCGAGCCTGGTCGCAGGCAGAGTTACTCAGCGTCACCAGCTGTCTCTCGTCCACGCGCGCTGATTTCTTCTTAAACCCCTCAGCGTAGGGTTCTCCTCACAGGCGCCCGGAGATCCTCCACGTCGTGTCCCATCCTCAAGCTCTGGGACCACACAGGAAACCGTCCCCACCCCGGGGGATTTTATGGCCACCAGGAGCACAGGGGGCGACACCGGCTCCGTCACCCCGAGTCCCCACCCCTCAGGCACCCGCCTGTCCCCACGGGCTCTGCCCCGCTCACAGGTCTCCCTTCGGGTCCTCCTGGTTTCCAGGTCCCTCCCAGCGGGGTCCCTCTCGCGCGCGTCACGTCGCCTCCTTCGGGCACCCGCCCGCGTCCCGGGGCTTCCTCACCTCGAGGCCCCGCAGCGACCCCCACTTCCGGCCCCCCCGCCCCTCCTCACGTCCCTCTGCCCGCCGCGCGTCGCCCTCGCCTCCGCCCTTGACCCTTCCTCCAACCTGGTGGCCCCATTATCCTGCAGCCCGTAGAAGGCCATTAACGAACGGCCCGGCCTCCGCGCATCCCCTCACCTCTAGAGCGACGCCCAGATTCTCCCGCTTCTTTTTAGTCATGTTGCTTGCCGGGATCCCCTGGTCATCGCTGGACACGCCCACCGGGTCGCACTACGCACGCGCAAATCCTCGTGCTTCTCTTTCATTGGCTTCCGAGACAGCGGGAGGCGGAGCTATTGGTGGTCGCCATGTTGTTGAAGGGCGCCGCCATGTTTGTGAGGGGAAGCTTCTAATCTGAAGCCTCAATTTAGGGATGGAGAGAGAATAAGAGCTGGGGAGGAACAGTGGCTCGCCCGCGCATGGTGGAAGCCGCCTTTTTTTCTCTTGTGGTACTGGTGATTGAACCCACAGCCGTCCTCCCCCTTTTTAATTTTGAGACACGATGTCAAATTTTCCAGGCTGTATTCGGACTTGTGTTCTCCTGCCTCAGCCTCCTAGAGTGCTGGGATTACAAACTCAAGAGCCTTTTTTGTTTTTTGTTTTTAAACCCCACCTCCAGTGCCCTTTATCCCGGGAGGTTCTGCCCAGTTTTATGCCAAATCCTTCGCCCGCCCCCCCCATTCAAATTCTCCCCATCACTAAGGCCCAAAGGGGCACTGTTGCTTCAGGAAGACCCCATCCAGCACCTCTGCCTGTGGTTTTGATAATGGCTTTCTACTGTTAGCTCTCTCTTTTTGTCTTGTGCTCTTCCTCATTTTTCTTTCTTGTTTTCTTGTAAGACAAAACCAGCAGAAAACATCACAGAAAACTTAGAAATGAGAAGTAGCATTCTGCATTCTGCCAATCTTACATTTGTTTCTGTGTATTCCTTCCAGGCTTGGACTCACATGCAGTGTTCTATGTTGTTGAAATTCTATTGTACAGTGCCCTGTGGACCTGTGCCCTTTGGAATGTTTTGACTGACCCCACCATAAGAATTGTTTTTTATTATCAAGATAACCAAAACCAAAAATCCACAATAAGAACCTTTATCATCTGTGAAGCGCAGTGTTTTTCTACTGCCCACTTCTCTTTTTCTTCCTTTACTTTTTCTGCCGCTCCTCCCCCTTCCCTTCCTCTTCCCTTCCCCTCCCCTCCCTGCTGGAGGTCTGACCCAGGGCCTGGTACTGAGCTACAACCCCAACCCTACTGTAGCCTATTTGATTTATACAACCAAAAAAGTCAGTGGCAGGAGACTTAACAAGTGGTTACCCATTACTGGAGAGTCAAGAACAATTTGGAAAACCATGCTCATAGACGTTTTCCCATACCTTCAAAATCACCAGTGGGATAGTGGCACCGGGTGAGTATGTCTCTTTCTTGCACTGGACGGTTTCCGAATAGTGCTAACGCTGACATCTTGTATAAAGGGCTGTCTTACCTTACTCTGTTTTTTTTCCCCGGATAAGTGTGCAGAAATGGAATTGCTGGGTCAACCACGATGAGATGGGAATCGGAGTTCCTCATTTCCTCACCGGTTATCTCTCCAGGGGAGCCTGTGTTTCTGCGGGTGAGTAATGACCCTGACTGAGTGTTTGGAGGAAGACATGTTTTCAGGTCGGTGTCCTGTTCCTGATAGAGTCGCTGAGTGATGGCGCTGGGAGGGACCTGAGATAGCATCGCACTTGCTGTGTCACGACAGCCCACAGGTGGAGAGCAGGCAGGATGCGGGCTGTCACCCGGTCGTTGAGTGCAGTTCCCAGCTCAGCATCCAAGCACAGGAAAAACTTCCGCAAGAACATTGTCCATCAACTGTCAATCAGCGACATTTATCGTCAGAACACTCTTCGAAGCCTTGGTTCCCAGCCCAGAAGAGGCAGACTCTGTGCTTCCCCGTGATCCCAGGCACCGGCCCAGGGGAGGTGAGAAGAGGGGGAACGCTGTGTTCTTTTACAGTGGCTCCTTCTGTGACTATTTGGCACCAAGAAAAAGCCACGGAGATCTGGGCGGGCTGAAGTGAGTCCCGTCTTTCTCCCATTTCCCTGTAAAAGGATTGGGCGAGCTGTTATCTTTCACCCCTACGCTTTCCCAGCCAGACCTTGTCCCCGGGGTCTGGCAGTGGCACAGAATATTGAAAGCGGGCTGGACTGTGACTCTCTGGGAGGTTGCAGTGAAAGGGCTGCTTTTAGACGAGGCCGACTTCAAATCCAACCCCAGCTCTGCCGTGTAGCAGCCGTCTATGGCGCAAGGCACTCGGCCTCAGGTTCCACACCAGCTCAGTGAGCACGGCTGAGTTCTTTTTGTTTTTTTGAGGCAGGGTCTCGCTGTGCGATTCAGGTTATCCTTGAGCTCACTTTGTAGCCCAGGCTGGTCTTGAACTCGCAGTGATCCT